AGCAGCGGTGAGGAGCGAACTGGGCTTGACTGGGGCCGGGCAGGGCGCTGGGACAGCCCGGCTGTTGATCCTTTCGCTGGGGTCTTGGCTTGGCTGCTCTGGTGCCATAAAAATGAGCCGATGGGTCTGAGAGCTGAATGGCAGAGCTTCGAGAAGAGTCGAGACAAGCCCAGAGCGTTTTCTGAATGCCTCCAGGGTCCGGGCTGGGAAGAAGGGGCGCAGGAGTGGGGCAGCCCCGTCACGCTGTGCCACGCTGCCATCCCTGGCCTGGCCAAGGCGCAGATATCTCCTGGGAGGCAGAGTTCAGCCCCACAGCTCTGCATCAGAACCCTCCCTCCGTGACTCCCTGCGATGCAGCTTCCTTTTCTCATTGCTGCGTGGTCCTCGCTGAGCGGGTCTGTGACGTCTAGCAGCTCCTAGGCAGTTTGGGGGAATTAACATCGAATTGTTGGTCTGATTACAGTTTTATCTAATAATTTTTACTTGACTGTTAGCAGTTGTACCCAGCAGATAGTGGCACTTGTCTGTCCTTGCATTACTCTCTTGCTGCAAGTCCTTAAGTTATGTGTTAGGTAAACTTTGTTGATGACAAATCGGCCCCTCCAGCTCTTCGGTCATGGCCGGGCCCCTTCTTAGCGTAGCAGGGATTGCACTGCGAGGGAGACACCGATGGGGCCAAACACTACCGTCCCCAGATAATGATGCCTTCATGGAGATGTCGTGTCACAAGTGCAGGTCAGAGGCTTTGGCTGCCATATCAGTCTGGCTGGGTGCCATTTCTTGGCATTTCCCAGGTTGCTCCCATGCAGCAGGTCTGGGAGTATTTGGCGGCTTCCTTCCAACTTGAATCTCCGTTTCTCCTCCATTGCTGAGCTCTAAGAGACGGCTCTATGGGGTGAGGTGGTTGCAGTGCTTCCAGAGGAATCTTTCTCACCCTGGTCAAGACATGGAAGGGACCTCATGACATACTGAAGGACAGACATGGAAGCTTTTTCTTCCAGTTCCAGATATGTTTCAGAAAACAGTATCAAGAAAAAACAACAGGCAAAGAATTGATGTGTTTTGAGCTAATTGGGTAGTTCTTGTCTCCTTGTTATGTGTTGATATTTTATACTTGATCCACTCATCCTGAGTCTTCCACCTTTATTTTATTTCTCTGCCAAAGGCCGAGAGTGTGGCCAGGCTGCCTGAAACCAGACCGAGCTGTGCTGACCATGTGTCAGTTCCTGCACTGGTGGCTCTCCCCAGGTCTCACTGCATAATTCTGCTGTGCCTTTTCTCCCGTTGTGAAGCTTGGTAGAGAATGCTATCCCTTCAATTCGCTGTCTGCAGGAAGGCGCTTTCCACCTCCTCGCTGAAACAGTCAACGCTGTAACACACCCCATGCTTTAGTGGTTGCTTTTAACCCAGACTTGTTTCCCTACCCTAGTTTATACTGCGATATAGCTGCTCCTGTGTCGCAGACAATGAGAAAGTACAAATTGGGAATGGGGGCGAGGGCAGAGACTGCCCAGCTTCATTGCTGGGAAAATACAGAGCGGTGTGGTCTGCTATCGCTGTGCAGCAGGTCCCGTTCGGTGGCCTGGAGATGCTGTCAGGTGGAAGAGTCAATACCCTTCAATAGCGATGGTGACTCCACACTCTGGACCTTTCGCCCTCTGGTGTGGCCCCCGCACGCTCTGGCCACAGCCAGGTCAGCCCTCCTGGGGCGAGTGCTGACCCAGCCCTTTGTTTTAGATGTCTGCATGCGGTCTCTCCACTGCTGCAGCCCTGAGTTTTCTGCCTAATCACGCTGGAGTCCCTTGCCTCACCTGACACCGTGCTCCGATGCCCTGAGACCGGTGAGGAGGTCCCCTGTGAACTCGAATGTGTGAGCCTTCAGTGCTCAGTCCAGCCGGTGTCTGTGCAGAGGGAGGCATCTGCTGCAGCACAGAGCGAGGCGGCGGCTGGATTCCAGCTCTCCCGTGGCTTGGTCCAGCGCCATGCTGCTCCTAAGGTCTGCCTGCATCCATCCATCCCTCCACCCCTCCCTCCTTCCCACTGCCTCGGGACGGGAGTGGATGCCAGAGCTGCTCTGCTCTCCTTCCAGGGCAGCGCTCTGCTTAGTTAAAGGATCATTTTGGGCAGCGGTGCACCTCTCATACCTTCTCTGTTCGGCGTGGAGTTCAGCGCTGCAGCCGTTGGATTGAAGTGACTAGCCCCAGCGCAAAGGCTGGGCACACGTGTAATCCCAGCATGCAGGTGGAATTGGCTGACGCATCCCCACAGAGGGTGGCTTCTCGCCGATGCCTTTTTTTGACCGGAGTGGCCAAGCGAAAACTTGGTGTCTTGATTAGGAGAGAAATTGGTCATCATCCTGTGCCTCTGGTTTTGCACCTAAAACGTGGTTCTGCAGGATGATACCAGAGCTGAGAGGGAGCGGCGATGCCTAACTGCGTGGCAAAGCAGCACGCTGGGCTGCTGGCATTTCTGTGGTGGCCGAGCTGTCTCTGAGCTGTCTTGTCCTCACAGACTTCTTCTCGTGGCCAGCAGGACCCTCTGCTCTTCAGCTTGGACTTGGCGGTGCTGCTTTGTCTCGGTGTGTGACTGTGCTTGAGGCTGCTTGTTTCCTGGAGCTGGTGTAGGTGGGGGTGGTTTCCACACTGTTGAAACACGAGAGTTTCTACCTAGCTACCAGGTGTAAGAGCAGCTTTAGGCACTGTCAGTCAGTTGGTTTCAGGTCAACATGCTTAATGTTGTTGAAAGCTTTTTAATTTTTTTGAAGAGGTGCAAACCCTCTTTTTGAAATGTATATTGGTTTTAAAACCTGTTTATTTTGTGTTGTTGTTAACTCACTTGTTTAAGGTTTAATCAAAAGCCCCGGAGCTTCTGTGAGGGACTTGGTGTGATCTCAGGTTTTCTTTAGGAAAAGATGTTATCCTTTCTAGTCAGAAAGAACAGGCTAAAATTGCACCCTGGAATGGCATGGAAAACAATAGCGAATCACAGCTGTCTGACTTTCCGCCCTGCCTTTTGTGCCTTTGGGCTGCGAGAGGCTGACAGCGCATTGTCAGGTCAGCTTGCAGCTCATACATTTGCAAACTCTTGTTATTTTAAGCATGTCACCACAGCTGCGTTTAAAATAATCTCCCCAGCCAAACTCACGTGACGGAGGGATGATGTGCACACCGGGGCTCTTACGGTGTCCTCTTTTCCCGTTAGAAACGGGTCTGCAAGGAGCCGCCACGCTGCCAAGAAGGGAGCGCACACCGCAGGGAGGCTGGGGCTGGGCGATGCTCCCTTCGTCCCCCGACGCTTAGTGGGGACGCACGGGCTGGGGCGTGGGGTGGCCCCTGCGATGTGGCGTTCGTCAAGGCCGTGGCAGCACTCCAGCTGACGTCCTGCCGCTTGCGAGCGGGCTGTGCGGTAATGAAAGGTGCTAGCGAAGGAATTGTAAGCGGGTGCAGCTGTATGGTCACTCCAACAGTGACAACTTTGGCCTTTATATTTATTGTGTGTCACTGAGTCCAAGCCAAAATCCATTAATTACTAGTAATGATGTTTGGGTTTGACTTTCAGCACTGCCAGTTCGCCCTGGGCTTTTCCCAGCTCATGTTTCTACAATAAAATTTCCAAGTGTTGTTTTATTACTGTTGTGAGCAGCTGAACGGACTCCTGCACCTTTGCCGTAGGTTTGGGTTGACAGAACTAGAAATTGCATCAAGCTGTGACCTTCCTCCACCTCAAAACTCTGACAGAGGTGCGGGCTGGTTAAACGTAAAGGGGAAACTTCCCTGCCTGGTAACCAGCAGGGATTGTCCTTGGGGCAAGTGACGTGGTTCATGCCCAGAGGCAGCTGCTGTCCTGTTGTGCCCACAGCCTGGCATGTGTAGGTGCCTCTGTCTGCGCTGGTTCTGCTGGGTGTTCGGCAGCTGCTTTGCTGAGCTGTCCTGGCAGTGAGGACAGGAGCCGGTTTGTAGGCAGACGTCAGAGGTGTCTGTGCTGGGAAGCAGGAGGTGGGACAGGGGTGTGGACGGCGGCAAAGGACAGGCAGCAGAAGCTGGTGCATCCTGACTGGGGGCGCCCCTTTACCGGCCGGGCCGAGCAGGTGGTGGCGGCTAAGTCCATGCCATGGCCAGACCTCCAGCCTGACAGCCACGGCTGCTGGCAGTACCCGCGTGCCAGTGCTGGTCACATCTGCGCCGCCGTTGTCACTTACTCCAGAGCAGGGTCACACAGGGCTGCTGCTGGCATCCTCACACCTGCGTCTAAGCTGGCTGTAGGATTCACGTCCCTTGTTACAGCTTCATTGGGCCAAATCACTTTTGTTTTTATAGCAGGATGATCCACTGATAGCTGTAAAGCCTGTGGAGATGAGGCACAGGTGGCTTTCGCTCCAGGCTGGTTTTGCAAGGTCATTCACAGCCGGGCGAGAGCGCAGGCGATGGCCAAGCTGGCAGCGTGCGCTTTGATGCTGCAGTGACAGTCCCTTCTAGGCAGGGACGTCGGGGACACCTGCCTTCACCTCCTTGTATTTTTATTTTGCTTTTTCACATCTACATTTGCTGGTGTGCTAGGGTCGCTTTGCGGTTCGAGCGTGCCTGTGACTTGGGTGCAGCTGGGGGGTGGTGTGCAGAAGCCGAGCTTCGCTCACTTGCTTGGGGGGGGGAAACTTGAGCCGGGCGGGTGGCGGCATCTGAGCCGCAGCCTCTTGGCTCTGTGCTAATCGCTGTGAATGTCACAACACGGCCGGGTTTGCTGCTGGGCACAGATCGGGTAGCGCTGGGGCAGCGCAGCGGGTAGTGCGGTGCAGCTCGGTTGGGTATGGCGTGTGGGATTCCCTTCCCCGGGGCTCAGAGCCCCTCTGGGCTGCAGCTCGCAGAGGGACACAGCCACCCCGCGCTCATCGGGAGCGCTCAGCGTGACTGTACGAGCACTAACGAGCAGTGCAGCCGTGGGCATGGAGCGGACACGACCCCTGCCATACCTCCTTGGTAGCTTGGCAGGGCAGCAGCTCTCCTTGAGGATGTATGGCTTCTGTGGGATCCTGCGTGGGATGTTCCCACCTTGTGCAGCCTCTGGTTGGGATGCTCCTGACCCGATGGGCGCTGGAGACTGGAGCCTGATTCACAGGTTGAGAAGGTCTGGTGGGTGTAGTCTGTCTGACTCACCCTGTGGTGGGTGTGAGCCGCTCTCACCGTGCTGCAGAGCGACCTCGGGGTCTCCTAGCTACGCTTTAACTGCTGAAGCCAAGGCTTGATTTTCAGGTGAGAAAGGAGTGTGTGTTGCAGGAAGACTGAGGGTGATATTTGATGCTCTGCTTACCCTTCTTTTTATATTTTTTTTTTTTTTTTTTTTTTTAAAACATGCAGGAGTGGGAGAGCTGGAAGGTGGAAGAGCAAGCCAACCAGCCTGCTTGGGATAGGAATTTGTATCTCAGCTGTATCCAGGGCCCCTCCAGGCATGTGTTAAAGCAAGACAAATACCTGGTGCATAGTTTGTGTTCTCTTTCCCATCTCCCCAGGCAAGAGGGTCTTGCAGGCACGGTGCCATAGTTCATTTTGGGAGGATTCTGGACACCCATGTCTGCGGCTCTCTCTTGCAAGAGACTTTTCTGTAGGACTGCAAGGGGGAGGAACGTGTGTATGCAGTACTGCAAGTCTCTGCTGGAGAGGTGTTGATGTTAAAACAGCCCTGCGTTTGCTGCTTGCCGCCTTCTCAGTCCTGAGCTCTTCAGGATGCCCGCAGCCCTCACTGAGCTTGTCCATGCGGTTACAAAAGTGAGAAATACATTCCTTTTAAAAGCAAGGGCTGAGGTTCCTGCCTAGTTGTGTGACCTTGGGAGCTGAAGCTTTAAGGAGTGGGGAGAAGAACAAGAAGTAGATGTTTTGGGGCTTGTGGTGGACTTGGGAGAGCTGGTGGCAGAGCACATGGTGTGGTTTGGAAATGCAGGCCCATGGGAGTGGGCTCCGGCTGCCGTGCCGGGTCCAAGGCAGGCGGACAGGTGGACTCTCCTTCCAGCTGGGGCTGCTGTGCTGGGGCTGCTGCCCCGTGGCCCCGGCTGGCAGCCAGGCACACCTGCGTGTTTGCAGGGTACAAGATTTCCTACAGACGGCACTTTCCAAGAGTCCCCTCTATAAGTTGTCCTTTGCATCTTCTAGTTTCATGTGAGATGCCAGGTCTTCCTTTGACTTGGTCCCAGGAGACTCTCGGGGAACTCTTAAAATATCTTAAATATCTTCAGGGTGGGTGTCAGGAGCATGGGGCCAGACTCTTTCCAGTGGTGACCAGCGACCGGGCCAGGG